CCATTGGTCAGAAGAAACAAGATGGCGACCATGACACATTTCTCCAGCCCAGTTTCTGACAATGGTAGCCCTTCTTACATGCGTGTGCCATATTTGGGCAACAAAATCGAGTTTTGTGGAACCGGATTGACAGAATTGAGTTTTGTGTTTACAAAATTGAGGTTTTGCGAAGGGGGGTCTGGGGAATTTTTTAAAATTACACCCCTTCAGATGCGTTTTCTGCGCGAGCAAGGTGGGGTCCGGACTCCCTGGACCCCCCCTGTACACGCCCCTGCTCGGGCGCGAAGCGACCAGGCGAGGGAGCGAAGCAACCGAGCGGGGGGAGGGTGTGGGAGGGGGGTGTTCATTGTTGACCCTCCCGCACGATGGAGATTTTGCAATTATTACACTAAAATGGAACGACCTGAGGTGAAATTCTTGCAAATTAAAAAAAAAAAACAGTGACCATTCAATTGTCAACTGGGACCTGATATCTTCTATTGAAATCGAGGTACAAGATAAACTGACTTTTGACTATAACAAAGCAGACTATGCAGGAATGAGATCATGCTTTTTAAACACGGACTGGGACAAGTGCTTTAAAGGAAACTCTACAAACGAAAATTGGACAGCATTTAAGAGCATCTTCCATGATGCTGTAGACAAATTTGTACCAAAGAAAAGAAGTATAGCAAACAACAAACCAAAATGGATAACTAAACAAGCGTTTAATGCAAGGACTAAGAAACACAAGTTTTGGAAAAAATACCAGCAGCCCAAAAACCATCAAGATTACACTGCATATAAATCAGCACTTAACGCAGCTACCAAAGAGATAAGACATGCCAAAAGAAGCTTTGAAAAGAAACTTGCTGAGAATATCAAATATGACACTAAATCATTCTATGCCTACACTATAGATCTAATCGGAAGACAAAATACAGAGTTGGTCCTCTCACAAATTCTGATGGCAACACTATAACAGACAACACAAAAGCAGCTAAACTACTAAACAGTTTTTTCACTTCAGTATTCACAGACGAAGTCATCATCAATTTACCCAAACCAGTTCAACTGTTCACAAAAGACAACGCATTGCAACTCAGCAAAATACTTCCATTTAAGGTAGCAATACACAAAAGTCTCTCCAATGTTAAATTAAATAAAGCTCCTGGCATAGACAACATAGTGCCAAATGTCATTAGAGAAGTAGCAAAAGAAGCTGCAACTCCAATCTCAAAAATCTTTGCAAGCTCCATGAATGATGGTGTGGTACCTGGCGACTGGAGAAATGCTAATGTGACTCCAATCTTTAAGAAAGGAAGGCGCAGCTTAGCCAGCAATTATATAGACCAGTTAGTCTAACCTCTATAATATGTAAAGTGTTAGAAAGTCACATCAGGGCAGCCATAGTAGACCATCTGAATCATCACAAGCTAATTAAAGACTCTCAGCATGGGTTCATGAGTGGTAGGTCATGCCAAACGAATTTACTGGAGTTCCTCGAACTAGTGACGAAGTATGTAGACCACGAAGACCCTGTGGATGCAATATACCTGGACTTTTCTAAAGCCTTCGATAAGGTACCACACAAACGACTTGTCGACAAACTGCAAGCATATGGTATCACGGAACAGGTCAGTAGATGGATAGAGTCATGGCTCACAAATAAGAAGCAGCGAGTGGTGTCCCTCAAGGTTCAGTACTGGACCCAGTACTGTTCCTCATCTACATCAATGATCTAGACAAAAATATCACAAGCCATATATTAAAGTTTGCAGATGATACCAAAATATTCAGAACAGAATCCACAACAGCAGACACTGAGGCACTGCAACATAACCTGCAAACGGTACTAGGATGGTTCAATGACGGCAATGTTGTTCAATGCTGATTCGGTCACAACAACCAAAAGCATAAATACAACATGAATGGGCACATCTTGGAGCAAGTACAACAAGAGAAGGACCTTGGAGTAACCATAACTGAATGCCTTAAAGTTAATTAAAGGGATACTAGACTCTAGGGTTTTACTGCATACAACGGTACTTACTGTATAACAAATCGTCTATACCCACACGTACTTGTTACCAGATACCTAATTTAATTGTTATAATTAATTATACATCAACGCTACGAAATTTGAACGGCGCCATTGACACCCGCGACCGTGCTGCCACCATGAAAAAGTTGCGCATTTCCCAATATATTTTGCACGTTAAAGACCGAGGGCTAATCACAAAGGTGCAATTATATTTATACCTAAATGCTATTTAACCGAACGATGTTCATTTTAGGACAAATTTATCCATAATATAACTGAAACTATATGTTGTTTATAAGATATTACAATCCTTTTGCTTTTAAATAAATAAATAAGAAACACCCTCGGTCTGTAGCCCTTGGCTGAATATTCGTTTTGCGCAACTTTTCAGATCGTGCGCTTTGAGTGGCGCCACCGTCGTTGTAATCAAACTGTAGTCGTTAGTTTTAAAACATAAAACAAAAAAATTTCTAATGGTGATTGAACCATGAAACCTTTTATGTAGCGTAATTTTAACCTAAATTAACTGAAAATAATCCTCAGTAAGCAATGTGCCATAGCTGCCAGTAAAGCGAACAAAATACTAGGAATCATCAATAGAACTATAACATATAGGGCCTAAAGATAAAAAAAAAAGCATCCTTCAGCTTTACAAATCACTGGTTAGACCTCACCTTGAATATGCTGTCCAATCTTGGAATCTCTATTTGCAGAAAGATATAGTGTTACTGGAAAAGGTGCAAAGAAGGATGTCGCGTATGATTCCAGAAATTCGTCTTTTTTCCTATGAACAAAGACTAGAGAAACTAGGATTTATAACACTGGAACACAGAAGACTAAGAGGAGACCTCATTGAAACTTTCAAACTAATGAATGTCTACGAAGTAATTGACCCTACAAAATTCTTTACAAGATCTGAATACAACAGTACGTACTCGTGGCCATAGCCTCAAATTGTTCACTCCGCGTGCACGACTAGAGTTAAGGGGATTTTTTTTTCAGTTTTAGAGTAATAAATCACTGGAATAACCTGTCAGAAGAAGCAGTACAAGCTATATATATATATATTCCATCAGCAGAGCAAACCACAATTGCATACAGCATTAGCAGTGCCACGCAATGAAGACGTAATTGTGCAGCTCTGTCTTGAAAGCCCGTGAAAATCTTTTTTAATCACATCAATTAAATTTCATACACTTATATATATATACATCTACACGAACACGAAAATTGTATTTTTACGTGTTGTGGGCAAGGTGCTTGGTATAACCGCTTGGGGTGGTAGTGAACGCTGCTCATGCTACTATATATCTGTTGTATCGAGTCGCTTATGTATGTGTCTGAATGTCCTGGTTGTCACTAAACTTTAAATATCTCTCAAACTGCACATTGTTGCCAGGCAGTCTACGCGTGGCATCATGCGTGAGTGTGGCGTCTGTTCTCCCGCCCTGTTTGTTTCAACTCGAATTCAGCTGCTGTTAATTGTTAACGTCTAGTTAATATCTTTTAGTACAATTTTATACTTGTTCTGAAAATGTCTGAGAACTGTAGCGGATAGTATGAAATCTTACCTACAGAAGAGGTAGGTACGTACGTACACCGCTTGACAGAGCATGGCCCTTTCCCTTCCGCATCAGAGGCTAAACGAACTATTGAATTCGCAAAACTCATATTTGATGATGTTTCCACGCCATTCCTCACATCAGCTGAGGAACCCCGCGAAAGGGCTTAGCATATTTAGGCAGGGGGTTCTGAAGTAGGAGGAACTGGTCCAGCTTTGTACTGAGTGATTTGGTAATGGTTCAGATAGGCGTTCCTCAGTTGGAAGATTACGAGCTGAACCGTGAACCATCCGCCAACAGCGAAATGCAGCTGGTTTCTAGCTCGTTGGACGCCTCTGGCCCGACACGGGCAGTTGAAGGGCACTTCGGGTAAGCTGTTCGTAACATACCACATGGGTGCAGTAGTCTTCGTCTTGATAGGCACAGTATTCACAGAGTTTTTCCTATCTATACTCACGAGGGGCAGCCATACCGCCGTGCATGTGGTCGTCTGTAACCAGTCCACGAAGAAAAATAACGGGATAGACTGACTATATATATATATTTCGTGTGATCAGTGATGGGATTGCTGTTGGGGTATTTCGAAGGCCGTTTTGCATGCAGTTAATTGACTAAAACAGCTTTCCTACGTAGTCGATCAAAAGACGGTGCATATAAGAACCATTTTTCACAGATTATGAATTAGTTTACCCCATCTCTGACCGTTACAGCTTTGTGTCTGGCGTCATTCTGAGAGAGCGTCTGTCATCTTTCGAGAGAGTGCTGTGGAGAGCGTGCCGCGGAAACATCTATCTTAAGTTCGCAGATATTGATACTCCGCTGGAAGATCCAGTCACTGTGAGTACATTGCGCGGTGGTCATCAGACATTTCGGCATTCACAACCATGCAATAATAATGGCTAGAACAACAAAACATCCGATACGTGCGCTGCTATCTGTATTAAACCCAGTTTTAACTAAATATATGGCTTTGTGTTGCTTCGTAAAAACGCCACGGTGACCGAGTATTTTACAGAAACATCTTGCTTTGCGACGCAATTATATTGCAGCTTTTGCAACCCGCGCTTAATTAAGTCAATAAATGACGTACGCGCTGGCTTTTCCGAAGGCAATTGTGAATTTAAATAACAAACAATGTTGCTTTTAATGTATAAAATGTAAAATATATCGTACGTAAGCTTATCTGTTGTCACACCAATTATTGCAAATCTAATGTTATCTTTAAATTTATTTTGTCCGGATGTTTTCGCATTGTGCGTTTGCACACGATTGCGCCTAGCTCTAGCCCACTCATAAAATTTGTCTCAAAGTCCGAGAATATAAGATGTAAATGTGGGGTTATGCTGCGAATGCTAACTAATTGGCGAATCCCTTACCATGCTAGCCACGTCATCACTCGGCCCTACCTCAGCCTTGCACCTCGTTATCTTCGTCGTAATTAACACATGTATTACGAGGCTCTATCATGTTTTTGTTTACGTTTACATCGTACGTTAATGTCTAAGAACAGGGTGACCAGGTGAACAAGTGTGTGTTCATCATCTTATTCCAAGGTGAACAGCTAAAGTCCAGAGTGAAGAAGATCTGTGAAGGGTACGTAATGCACGCACAAGGTTACGATTGATTCACACCGGTTTTCTCTTTGTTTGTGACAGCTGATTTATCTTTGACAGCGAGAATATCGAAGAACAATAGGATTCATGAGCATATTCTTACTGCTGTCTTCTAGGTTCCGCGCTACGCTGTACCCATGCCCCGACTCGCCGGCAGAGCGCAGAGAGATGGCTATAGGTGTCATGACTCGCATTGAGGACCTGAATATTGTAAGTTGCATCGCCGGGGAACGATGTCCACGCATAAAAATTACAAAAGTGTGAATGGCCATGGCAGCGCCAGAGTAGAATGCTAATCGCTAGTCGTCTGTATGATATTGAACTTTGTCACTTGCGAACTTGGTTAACCGCACGTGTGCAGGTAGGTGTTGTGACAGATAGGAAACTATCGTAGTCTTCTTTGTTGTTTATTGTCGTCTAAATATTGTCACGTTTGGTCAGTAGCAAGCACGTGTTCTTTTATACGTAGGTGTTGGTGCAGATATGCGATCATCGCAGTCTACTTCATTGCTTGTGTTTGTCGCTCATATATACGTTGTCATCCGCGAATTTGGTTAATGGTTCTTATTCTTCGGCACGTAGGTACTGAGCCAGACACAGGACCATCGTCATCGCGTGCTGGTCGCTGCTGCGAAGAACATCAACGTGTGGTTCGTGAAGGTTCAGAAGATCAAGGCCATCTACCACGCGTTGAATCTATTCAACTTGGATGTGACCAGGAAATGTCTGATCGCCGAGTGCTGGTTCCCAGCGGACGAGGTGGAGAGAGTTAACGGGGCACTCCGTAGAGGCACCGTAAGTCTATATCATAGACTTACATCATCTATATCAAGAGCATATTAAAAAGGTTCCACCTTCTTAATACGCTCTTGTCTATCTCTCTCTCTCTCTCTCTCTCTCTCTCTCTCTCTCTCTCTCTCTCTCTCTCTCTCTCTGCTCTCTCCTCTCTCTCTCTCTCTCTCTCTCTCTCTCTACTCTCTCTCTCTCTCTCTCTCTATATATATATATATAATATATATATATTATATTAATATATATAGTCTACATCATCTTTCAAATATTCATCTATTACAACAGACTGGCGCAGGCTCCCTGTGCACGATGTTGTTAGCGTTTTTTTAAATGACAGAGGTAAATCATGAGCACTAGAGCTCAAGATAAGCGAACTAAGCTAAACGGGGGTCGTAATTATAGGGGGTGGGCGTTGTGTGATACTATAATAAACGTACCTAGACAACCATCTAGTTTAAAATTATTAGTTAATCATAGACGATAATTGTATTTGCCTTTGCACAAAAAAACAATTATATTTATAACGCTCGTAACAATTTATGTAACAATTGGTTGCATAGATGATGGCCATGCGTAGATATTACATGATTAGCGACTATATGTGAGCTGATAGCAAATAGATAAATATGTTCACGCTATTATACATATTGTTTAAGGAAAAGAGTGGGATAGATGCACCTTCAATTCTGAGCCAGACCGTAACTATGGCAAATCCACCGACCTACAACCGCACCAACAAGTTCACGTCGGCGTTCCAAAGCCTGGTTGATGCGTATGGTGTTGCTAGCTACAGGGAGGTCAACCCAGGTACAAAGTCTGTAGATCCATGTTCAATATTGGTGACCATGCATTGCCTAAAATTTGTGACTACATCTTCTAGAGCAGCAGCTATTGTTCTAATTTTTACTTCAATTAATTAATTTATTTATTTTAAACTAATTTTAATTTTAATTTTACCTAGGATTGTTCTGAGTTTTACATTGTCCTAATCTTTATCTATTACGTTTTCAGCTCCATTCACAATCATTTCTTTCCCATTCCTGTTCGCTGTGATGTTTGGAGACACTGGACATGCCATGTTGATGCTGGTTTTTGCTGCTTGGATGGTCATCAAAGAGAAATCCTTGCTAGCTCAAAAGAGTACGAATGAGGTGAGAGCACGAGAACTCAAGACATTTTTGTGCTTCAAATCGTGATTAGATATTCAAACACTGAAACAACAATGTTTTAATGTAGCACGGCTGTTGTAACCCAGCTTGCTGTTATAAGGTAACTTATGGTTGGGCGTCTGCCAAATGCTATTTTATTGCAGATATGGAACACATTTTTCGGTGGTCGTTACATCATCTTGCTGATGGCACTATTCTCTATCTACACTGGCTTGATATACAACGACTTCTATTCCAAATCTGTTAACTTGTTCGGTACAGCTTGGCATTCCAATTATACGTAAGTTACTGCGAAATATTTCTTGATCATGTTGGCATTTTTATTTGATGGGTGTTTGCTTCACTAATAATTTCACAAATGTTAAGTCATATATCTCATTCAAAAATCTTTTATACACACATACATACACGCTCATATTTGACAGGACTTTCACGGGTATTTTCAATATCTATGATGATTATTCTATTGCAGGAAAGATGTTCTTGTTGCCAACAAACAGCTGCAGATGTGTCCAAACAAGAATAACTGCGTTGGCCCTAATAATAAAGTGATTCCTACAAACTACCGGGGCTATCCTTATCCGCTCGGAATGGATCCGGTAAGTATATATATCTATATATTTAATGAATTTTCAAGCTATGCTATAGATCTAGATTACACAGCATCCGTTATGGAGCGTGGTGTAATTCAATATGTAGGGGCTATAACGATATAAATTATTGCTTAATCAAACAGGTAGAAGTCATGCTCCCTGTATCGTTGTAGCCATTTTAATTTTATCTCCTGCGTTATGATACGACTTGCTTATCTTATCATTTTCGGCTGTTTACACTTTTTAATTATTTTTCACTATTACTATTTTAATGTTTAACGTTGTTGTCGTTTTAATTTGAGCTCCTACGTTATTATTGTATTTTACAATTTTTTTAAATCATTTTTGCTAGTTTTTCTATTTTTTCACCATTACTGTTTTTTAGATATGGATGATATCGGTTAACATGATAACGTACAGCAATTCATTCAAAATGAAGATGTCAGTTATAATCGGCGTCTGTCAGATGTTGTTTGGTGTGATCCTCAGCATCTTCAACCATAGGTATGATAATTAATTGCGAAAAGCACACTTCGATTATTCTAGCTACGATGTATTAAAAATCGAAGTTCGATAACGATCGAAGGGTCTTCTTGAACATATAAATACTAATTTAATATCGATTACTTTGAATTACGGAGAAGTTCGCTGTACACATGCACACCTTTCGTTCATGTGAAGATTCCCACGTTCATTCTTTAGTGTTTGTAATAGCTTTTGTTTCCAAAAATCCCAGGTACTTCAAGCAACCGTTGAACGTATTTGCCGAGTTCATACCACAGCTGATATTCCTGAACGGCATCTTTGGGTACCTGTGCGTTCTGATCATTGCCAAGTGGATATCGTGGGCAGGCGACGATGCAGCCTGCGCACCAAGCCTCTTGCTGGGACTAATCAACATGTTCCTCTTCAAATATGTGGACGAGAAGGACTCCAGCATATCCTGCAGCCAGAAGCTCATGTTTCCTGCACAGGTTCAACTTCAACCACAACCGATCTAGTGTAGGGTAACGCGGCACCAGGGCCATGGCCTGCCCGTCCAGGAATAAATGACACGAAACGAATGAGAGAAATCCTAAACAGCTATTCATAAGCATTTCAAGCTTCCATTTAACTTCACTACAGTGTTCACTGAGGCTAGAAATTCTAAAATTCGGCACTAAAATGCGCATCGGCGCTCTGCCGAGGGAGCTCACAGCGCCTTCTTGTACCCTCCCTTTTGACGTATTTTTCTCCCCCGTTCCCCGTTTGTCCTTTCCTGGATAGTAAATTTCTTAATCCGTAGTGAACGGAACGTTATAAGAGCACGTAAAGAACCCGACTGGAATTCTTTAAAACTATGCAGTTCTTTTCTAAGTACTATATTATACGGACAAATGATCATGTATGTTTCTTCTTCTAAATGTGCCGCAGATTATCGAATAAAAGCAAATAAAAGTAGCTAAAATATTGCGTTGATAAAGCTATCGTGGTTGAGATTAGTTGAGTGTTATATTTGTGTTGCAGAAAAGCCTGCAGACGGCACTAGTATTCCTTGCAGTGATCAGTGCATTGGTACTCTTACTGCTAAAGCCACTAGTCCTGAATTACCAACACAAAAAGAAACTTCGACAGGTGAGGATTGCGGGTAACAATTCATCAGTTGAAAACCATGACATAAAATGCGCGTGTGTATGTTCAAAGTTTAATGACCTTCTTGAATGCTGGTTAAAAAATGATTCATGTACCATGGTTCGGAATTAGGCTTGAGCCCTACTGTTCACCCTGAGCTACATGGTCGTGATTTTGCTATACAACTAGGCGGCAACAGCAAGCCAACAACCTGGTCCATGCATAGAATCATCTGCGGAGGACCACTTAACGCCATCTGGCGGAGGACACGGAGAGAAGGGCGACGAAGACGAGGTTAGTTTATTTTGATGCGTTTAGCGAATAATTGTAGCGTATAAATCCACCATAATTCCATCAAATAGCGACTCCTTGGCAGTTATTGCCAAAATAATAGGTAGTCAATACATACAAAGGAACGAATATGTAAATATTTTTATATAACCAATCCATGTCACTGGCACAGATTGTCCTACATATTTACTTCCAACGTGTACGCATTTAACAAGGGACTGCAGGACTGTCTCTACAGGGTAGACATGTATCTATAATTGAAAATGGAAAAAATGGACATAGTATTGATGATGACCATTTGTTTTCTTCATGTTCTATACCGCAGTTTGACTTCGGGGAAATGTTTGTGCATCAGTGCATCCACACTATTGAGTTCTGCCTGGGATGTGTGTCCCACACTGCATCCTACCTTCGACTCTGGGCCCTCAGTCTTGCCCACGGACGTAAGTTCACAAGCACAGCATTTGATTATGGTCTTCGTGTTAGTTGTGATTGCGAGACGGTAAATGTGAAATAATTATCCATTAGATTGCAACACAAACAAGCGCACACACACGCACGCACGCACACACGTGTACACGCACACACGCACGTGCGCACACACATGGCTAGTCGTCGTGTAACAACATTATCTCTAAGGTGGTTTGATTCAATTTGGCACCTCAATCATTTTGGTCTAATGATATTTACTTCGTCGCTAACCTTAAATCTCTGTCACGTGGAGTAGTAAGTTGGTCTAACACAAATCGAGTAGCACAGTGGACCTGCTTCCCCCTAGGCGTTTTCGCGCGTGACCTAATAATATAGCTGGGGCTGTTTGAGCGAGGTTAGTTTACCAACAAGACAATCACTGATATAATTAAATTATATGCTTAACAGAGCTTTTAAAATCGTTGACTCTCGTGACAATACTCAGAATTTCCACTGTCGCGTCTTCACGTGCAGGTTAATGAAACGGATACGTTCATAATCGACTCACTATCTGCCGCCATTTATTTCCAGAACTGTCCGAGGTACTGTGGACGATGATTCTACGCATGGGCTTTAGTGTCAACGGGTTGTTTGGCAGTGTCATGATATTCGCTGTCTTCGCTCCCTGGCTGATGCTAACTATCGGCATATTGCTCGTCATGGAAGGCCTGTCCGCGTTCCTGCACACTCTCCGTCTGCACTGGTGAGTGGCGCCACCTCGTGACGGATTCCGACTTTACTCAAATTTCCTGTATTCTGTAATCAGAGCTAACCGGTTGAAAATTTATTGTCAGCGGGCCCGGTTAATGATCGTCATAGACCGGGAGTAAAGGAGCCGCTCTTACATGATTCACGGGTGCGTTTGCTGTTACAGGGTGGAGTTCCAATCAAAGTTTTACATCGGAGACGGCGAAGCGTTCATCCCGTTCTCGTTTGATGACATTCTGGACCAGGCTGAGGCGTCTAACCACGAAGTGCGCTAAAATTACAGGCAACTAAACGAAAATGCCGCAATAGCGTGTCTATACAAAGCTAACGGTTGCTTCTAGTAATTACAACATGTTTTAAACGTTAATCATATAATTCTTTATAAATGTGAATCTATTAAGTAAGAACATAATAATTTATGCCTGAATGTGATTACTCTCGTAATCAACATATTGTTATGTATTATTTCGGTATCATGGCATCTTAACGATTACTGTGAAGAATTCTCGGCGTAATGCGAATAGCTACTGTTTTAAATTAACCAATATATATATTATTAATAAACGGTGTAATGTTGTGATTTTTGTGTTTCTGTTTTTTTCACACAATTAATTAAAACCGTATCATTCGTATTGATCCTATGCAATTTTATATCAGAATGTCCGAATTTGTTCTGACATGTATTTGCCCCGTGTTCTATATTTTTTATTCGCATCGGTCGATCTTTTATCGATGGGTGTCATTAGGTTAATGATCAGAGTAGTGGCGGCTGATCTAAGTAGTGGTGGTAGGTGGGTATTTACTCAAGTCTTGAATCATCGCATTGACAGCGGTAATAATTTATTAGTAAATAAGTCCGCTTACTTATGTACAAATTTAGTGTCTATAGTATCGGACGTATAGTACATAGCAGCTGAACGCTATACTTGCGCGAACTGAAAGACTGAAAGGATCTGATGCGCTAGAGGTTGGCGAGATGGCCTGATTTATTATTATTTTACATTGGTATATTTACTTAGGCCCTATACTGCTTTCATTTAGTTGTATTCTTCTTTATTTAATAATTTCACCGTTGAGCAGGCCTAATTACTCTTGACATTCAATGAAGAGCAAGGTGAGAGAAAAGATCATCAAATGATCGGGGAGGTTCTGCTGCGCCCCTGAACTATCCGTGTAGCGGCTAACATCGTGTAGTATGTGCACGGCTCTGCACGCATGGATCATGCTTGCTGAGTGACTGCAGGTTAGATACTAATCAAGCACGTATTCGTTACTGTATGTTGAACAAACAGCGACAACCGATTCAGCGAGGCCGATATTGAGCAGTGTCGCGCGACAGAGCTCTGTGATAACTTCATTCGCCCGCAAATACGGACGGATGAGGACGTTGAATTACAATGACAATAATTAGAGTGAATGTCCGATGACACGGAATGGCATGAGCTCCGGTGCGACCTTGCGATCCGATCGTGTAGCTTTGACGCGTGGCGGGGGAAATTCGCCTGTATGGGCGGCCCGCACAGTACGTTGTAGCCGCGTTAGCCCAGTACTTTTAGTTGTTGAAAAATTGGGGTTTGAGCAACTTTTACGATATTCGCTAGCTATGAATGTTGCACGAAATATTGACGCATCGGATATTGGCATAATTTTTCTAGTCGTTTAACTGAAGACAGTGAATAAAAATATATGGTATGCGGAAGCAAATATGCAACTATACGCAATTATTTAAAACCCAACTTATAATCATATGTAATCAATGTAGGCCCTATCTATCAAACTTTTTGTATAAGAGACAGTACTTAGATCATGGAAATGCCAGAGAAAAGAGCTAGCGTATTTAATGTTACACAACCTTTATTCTTAGTCGTGACCGCTCGTCAGTAGATGGCTACACGCTTCACTATATAGGAATATATATGAATACATGGCATAATGCCTGTGTAAATACACTCGTGCGTGGTCTCTCTCCATCGCTATCTATCTCTTTCAACGTCGCATAATCGTATAATAAACTATTACGAACTCAATGAAGTGACAATTGCGACAAATTGTTAAAACTGCAACACTGTTAAACCAGGCGAACTGCCTTCGTCCATTCGATAATCTTGTTTAGTAGTACGTCATAGGGCCATTTCGCCTAAAGTAATGGCTCAATCCCGCCGGTAGGAAACTTTGGCAGTAAGTGATCGAGTCCTGGCAGTTGGCGGAGGCGGGGTAGAGTCGGCTGCACTTTGCAAGCATACGCTGGCAATCACTGATGTCTTTCTTGTCGACGGATCTTCTGCCAAATACATGCCAGCTGGCGAGTCGCGCCATCGGCCTGCCCGCTGGTGGAACAATGTGCCAAGTTGAACCCGTCTCGTTTTCGGCGCGAATCTCGGATCGTCTGCCGACGATGGGATTTCTCCCCGAATCCGTGACGTCATCGTCGTCCGGCAGTGACTCGCAGAGTCGCGCTGCGGCAGAACATTGCGGGGAGAATGCGAACCCTCTCCGACGGGTGGCGCTGCAGGCGAATGTGAGCCTGTCGCACGCAACGTCGTCGGCGGCGGTGATTTCGTGATATTCGGTCGTTCTCCCCGTAGCCTGCTCTTCCTCCGCGACGCGACCATCGACGAACTCATGCAATGTGCAGTATCGTATCATCTCTAAGCAGTAGGACGTCGCATCGCGAGACTTTCCGCAGTCGACAACGAGGCGCTGACAGTCGCTCGGAACAAAGATGGCGTCGTAGGGCTGTTGAGGCGGCTGCTGAGATCGGGGCGGTAGCGCGATAATGGGAGAGTCATCTATCGTGTGTTCGTCGGTGCCATCAGCGCGTGCCTGCTCGTAATCTGCCCTAGTCGTACCGTCGGATGTCCCTCGTTTGAATCTACGTTTCTCGCCGTCTATCTCGTGAGTTATGCTCTCCGTGGGTTTTACCGGAAATAACCGCTCCATAAACTCGCGTAGAACTTCGATGTTAATCTTCCTGGTCGCAGTTCTCAGACGCGTGTAGAGGGAGGATGAGTTGGGCATGTCCGTATGTTTTGCAAGTAAACTTGTTGCGTCTTTGACCTGATCTGAAGCTTTCATCTCTCTCTTTCCAAACATGCTTTGACGTTTAAGATGACCTTCTTTGAAGCGATCAAGAATGTTTAAGATTAAGCTTCGTTTACCAAACAAACTTTGACGTTTGTTTTCTACGTTTTTTGAGTTATCGGCATTTTTCATCTTTCGTTTTCCAAACATGCTTTGACGTTTAACTTCACCATATGCAATCTTATGAATGGTTCCCATTTCCCGTTTACCGAACATACTTTGACGTTTAATATCTGTGTTTTTCATTTCTCGTTTACCGAATAGACTTTGACGCTTTAAACGACGCTTTAAACCGTATGTTTTTCCTGCCGTTGAATCGGCTCTATTCATGTCAGGGCCATTGACAATCGCGTAAATTTCTGAAGTTTGCCGCTTACTACGCCCATCATTATGTAAAACATGTCTAACGGGTAACGCAACCAGCGCTTCGTCTGAGCGTTTACCGAAAGGAACCCGGCGATTGCGTGTCAAAATTTCGTACGATCTTTTTCCGAATGCACTTCCTTGAATTCCACGGCGTTGTGCGGCACGCGACCGTTTTCCAAATACGCTCCCGTGTATTGCTCGACCATCTAACGCGACCGATCTCATTCCCAATGAGCCCCCGTGCATTTCGCGATCATTGAATTTCTGGGATCTTCTTCCAAAAGCACTCCCGTGGATTCCTCTCCCTTCAAATTCACGCGATCTTCTTCCAAACGCACTCCCGTGGATTCCTCTCCCTTCAGATTCACGCGATCTTTTTCCAAACGCACTTCCATGGATGATCCCATCTTCAGATTCACGCGATCTTTTTCCAAACGCACTTCCATGGATGATCCCATTTTCAGATTCACGCGATCTTTTTCCAAACGCACTTCCATGGATGAACCCATCTTCAGATTCACGCGATCTTTTTCCAAACGCACTTCCATGGATGATCCCATCTTCAGATTCACGCGATCTTTTCCCAAACGCACTTCCA